AACTTTATATTCCTTCCTTTTACTTCTAACAATCTTGATCTTCAGTCCCTTCAAATAATGTTGTAGAACCTTATTTTGTTTTTTCTTTGTTCCTTCTCACAAAATTATTCAAAACTTTAACAAGCCTCTTTTATAAATCCAATATAGGAAAATTGGAAAATCCAATATAGGAAAACCAGATCACTCTCTTGGTTTGTTGCCTGTATATCCCTTTTAATTATTAAGACATCAGATGGTTTCTTTTATATATCCACTGTAACATCTTTTGCCATGTCATTCTTGTAGCCTGTCATTTTTAAATCCACTTTTCAACTCAATCTTGTCAGGTAGAACTTGTTCCTCTTCCATAACAACTTTTAGATACAGTCTATTTATGGAGGCAGACACTATTAAAATTAATTTCTGGGACCACTGTTCAAAAATATCCTTCAATATGTCCAATGTTAAGATATTTTGCTTCATTTTGTAATTATAAGCCGAGTTTGAGTGTTCTTCTCCTTTAATTGCAATCTTTAGTTCCTTCTATTGTCCATTTTTTAAAGTCTTAATAAGACTTAAAAACACAATAAGATTTAAAAAAAAAATTAAACAAAAGCATTTTCCCACGGGAAGGATTCCTTATAATTAATTCCAAAATCTTATTTCAAATTTATCTGGACCCTTAATCTGTTTGTGACTTTCTAAAATCAAAGTTTTACTTACCCTTTGCTGTGTATTCAAAAAAAAAAAAATTGAAGTTCTTAAACTTGTAGTTAAAACTTCTTTCACTAAGGATTGACGGAAACTCACCTGGTGCTGTAAAACATGTCAATCCAAAGGTTCCTAATAGCTGAAAAGCCATTAATGAACAATTTCCGAAAGTAGTTAGAAAGGAAGTATGTGAACTTAGTGTCCTTCCAAAGGCGCCGACTGCTGTTTCAGCAAGATGGCTATTCCCTTGTTTCCCAGAGCTCTAAATCCACCGGAGACCAATGGGAGCAACTTGAGAGGAGCAATTGTCTGGAGCACTTGTGGGCATTCTCAAGTTCTCTCCTTGTCTGGAGAGGATTTCAAAGAGCTGGTGTACTCGCTGACTTTTCATTCTGCCACAGTCATCAGGACTACTTTTTGTGGAACTGTCCTCAGTTCGCAGTTTCTTCTCCGGAAGTCCAAAACCCAACCAAGGCCACAGTAGTTAAAGGATATGATGATATGGTATTTGACAATGTGATTATTACTTCAAAGCAGCTACATATAGATCCAAATTTAACAGGATACTGGGACATTTTTTAATTTATTATAATGATTCTATGACCATCAGGACTGCACTCTCTCCATCCAGGTCCTTCTGCTAGTCATAGAGAAGAGCACCCAATGCACTTTTTGTCCCATGCTCAGGTTTGAAAGCAGATTGGAAGAGTTTGCAATAATCCACTTCATACAGTACTCTCTTGAACTGATACCCCACCACCTTGTCAACAACCTTCCCTTAAAAAGGGAAGAAGTTAGCAGGCAGAAGTTAGCCAGCACAGCTGGATTAGGAGAAGACTCTTTAGAAGATAGCACACCGCTACTTCCTTTAAGGTGGTCGCCATACCCTCCTCCAAAAGAAACACTTGCCACCTCTTAAATCCATCTGCCTCCCCAACAACTGCCTCAAACAACCAAAAAGATGTGGGTCCAATGTGCAGTTGGCAGCATTCATTTGCAGAGAACCCTGTTGACTACTGCACAGCACACAAGCTCCAAAGGATCCCAGATTATATTATAAGACATTATCCCAGTTAGCTCAATGGAGCAATGCCATCTTACTCTGAGCAAATATGAGGGATTTTGTCTACAAATGTTTTGCAAATCAGCCACAGTGGTCTACTGGGAGATCTTCTCATATGTCCAGCCCAAACAGGATGCAGGTCATCTTAAATACTGCCATGAACAAAATTTCACAGACACAATAAATCTGCTCTGATGCTGCACTATTCTTATTGCCATGAACCTGGGCTTGTACCTGTGATAGTCATATTTGGTCCTTGTTTTTCGCCATCAGCACTTTAGGTGTTTTTTTGGCTGTTTCATTGCCCCAGAACTCCTCAGTACATTAAGGATCAACAACTAGAGGGAGGCCACTCAGAAGCAATCATGTCCTCATAGTCAGAGTTCTAGATACTGACTGGGCACGTGCCAGAACTGCCACATAACTTCCTTTGGCAGGACAGCGTGCAATCAAAAGTGTTTCTCACAAAACTGATACTAGGATTTCCCCATAGTTACTTCTAAGATAACATAAAATAACTGGGACTGTGGATCACTGATTTGTCCATGTTATATGTAGTTAGGCTCTTATCTGCTCTGGGTTCACTACTAATCAGATATAAATAAATGACTCTCTTACTTCTGCATAATCAGCCACTAGTAGAAGCTCCACATATTTCATTGACTGTTGATCATCCCGCTTCACCTATGGCAAAAACACAGAAAAATATGTGCTTGGGGTTTATTTTGGTCAGATATAACAACAAGCAGCTCTATCTCTGTACATATATTAATTTTAAGAGAAACAATGACCAGTCATACCTTATGTGAACAACTGTTCGTTATAAGCATCAACGGTGTATCTCATGCAAACTGCATTTTAAGGTATATATAGGAATTGTTCTTGTATAGATGTTTCACCATGTCTCCCCCTCATTTAAATCCTACTTTCACTCATCTGGCACAGATGTTTTTTTTCTTCCTAGCACATTTCCCAAAATTACTTGAATTCTTATTTTCTTATCAAGATATTATGCTTCTGCCCAAAATGCTTACTGAACTATTATTCTCCTATAAATATTAGCTCCTATTGCTTTATCACAAGTTTTAAATTATGATTTATTTATTTCACCAAGTATAAAAACTAGAAAATATTTCTAGCTCTCTGAATTGATTGAATTCTGCTTTAGAAACACCCTTGGGTTTTTTGTTTTTTGTTTTAATTTTGGCATATAATTCCTTAAATAAATAAACAATGCCAGAGTGATTATCTCATCCACAGCAGAAGTTATCAGAGCTTTCAGGATAGAAAATGGCAGGTTATGAACCAATGAAAATAATTAAAAACATCAGAAATGAATGGGCCCTTCTCTGCTCTCTTGTTGGCCAACAGAGAGATGAACCCCCCTGTTCCACTCTCCCCCCCACCCAGAAATTCACATAAATGAAATAAAATTAACAAAGTTTAACATTATATTTTTGAGCCATGAATCCATAGTTTAGAGTATAGCTTGAACATGCATTTACACAGGTAGTCCTCACTTAACAACAGTAACTGGGACCGAAATTTCCATCACTAAGTGATGCAGTCATAAAGCGTGATGTCATGTGACCGCATCACTTACTGATGGCAATCCCAGCAGTCCCCATTGCTGTTGTTAAGTGAAAACTGTGGGTCATTAAGTGAGGACTTCCTCATAACTTCCTCCTGGCTTCCAACAACCAAAGTCAGTGGGAAAGGTGGAGGAAGTTGCAAGTCCCAGGCAGTTCACAAGCAGGTCAGCAGGCAGCAAGTGGCTTCTGCTGGGTGTGGGAAGGTGTGTGGGTGGTTGCAGTGGTGCATATGAGTGATTTCGGAGCCGGGGATGGCTACTGCTGGGTGGGGAAGACTTACCTGAGCAACTTGAAACCTTCCCTGCCAGAACTGGTGATCACATGACTGTGGGGCACGGCAACTGTCATAAGTGGAAGCCGGATGTCAAGTGCCCAGATCATGATCACATGACAGCAGGGACACTGCGACTGCTGGAACTTTGAGGACTGATCGTAAATACCACTTGTTCAGCACCATCGCAACTTCAAAAGGTCACTGAACGAGCGGTCAGTAAGCAAGGACTACCTGTATTTCTCAGCTTCAGCTTTTTATTCATTAACATGTGGATAATAAATTAGCCTACATTCTCCAACTGCTGGAATAATTTTTGGCACAACTCATGTAAAGCAATATGAATGGTTAAGAAAAGCAGCAGGGGAATTTTTATTTTTCTTCATCCCTTCCCACTCCCCCCGCTCTGATGCTGCTACACACTGCAAGATATGAGGAGTAACTCGGACATACCCTGTGGTATCGTGGTTCAGTTTGGCCTGTCAACTCTGCAAGCCAATCTGTCATCTTTGATTTCAAATGCTCACTTCCACAGTTTCCATGGGGAACTTTGAGATGCTCAGACCTGTAAATGATGTGTTGCTCCTGACTATCAGGAAGAGGTTCTAAGACGTAACTGAAGTTGTTGCTTATAACTATAAGGCCACTGAAAAACAATTCAACAAAACCATCAGAAGGCAGAGAAGGCAAATCAATTAAAGAAGAACAAAGAAAGAAAACAACTGAACTCAGTGGGATGTAGTTCAGAGTACTGTAGGTATTTACAGGGGTGACATTTAGTAATATGGGACAGTTGCTAAGCCCATTTTGTTCTTTGATTTTCAAAGCTAACCAAGAACTTTTATAAATCCTGGATTTTAAATTTTGAACTGAACAAAGAAAAGAGATGACTAGTTCTAAGAGCCAACAAGACCATTCTGCTTTCTTAAATGATTATAAGGAGGCCAACATTAAATATATTTTGATAAAACAAAGTGACAAAAATAATCTTAAAGTACAATTAGTAATGGAAATAGAGGGCTTCATGATGAAGCTGAAAGGCCTATAAATACAGAGGTCTAAGCAAGCTGTCCACTCTATGTATATTTATTGCTATTGTTACTGGGTTTTTTTTAAATTGAGTTTTAATTTTATGTTAGCTACTCAAAGTCACTACTGTGAGATGGACAGCCATATAAATTGAATGAACAAAGAAATAAATCAATAGTGTCTGTTATTTCAAGCTCAATGATCTTTTCTGGATGGAAGGCTTTTTAAGTCACCGAAAACTATTACAACTATTATGAATACAGTGGTACCTCTACTTACGAACGCCCCTACTTACGAAATTTT